TGGGATCCGAACCCTCGGCGGGAGCGCCGCCGCACTCTCAAGCGGCGCACTGTAGCAGTGCACCACCGGGCCGACCCCTATGGCTAACTATTAACAAGATAAAGTTTTAGCAATAAAAAGCCACACAGCAGGGCTGGAGATCAGCAGTTTTTTATGGTTGAGTATGCAACAAAGCCAGTAGGGTCCACGGGGCTAAGGGAAATCAGACCTCAGATACATTAGGTATACCCCAGACATGCAGCAGCTGTGAGGGCAGAACACCTTGGAGAACCTGGTCTTATAGCTGAAGCTCTCTGTGTTTGGGAAGAGATACAGGCATAGCAACAGTAGGTAAGACCCTAAGAGTTACAGTTGGTAATTTTTGAAGTTTGTGATGAAGTATAAGAGTTGCTTGCTAGGTTACTATTTTGTGGCTTTTTGGTCATATTCATTAATTTATTTCTATTGTTCTTTCTACTTGGAAAGCTCTTCCCCCCAGATTTCTACAAGTCTCACTTCCTCACTCCTTTTCTTTGTGAGGATCCTTAAGTGTGGGAATTCTGCCAGTTGCTGAGTTTGTCTATTCCAGATGTGCATTTTGATATCGTAGTTAGTTCAGGGTTTGTTTGAGAACCCACTGGGGCTCAGTTCTGAGGGACCTGAGCTAAAACTCCATTGATTACCTGATCTTCGTAAGCCCCTCTGACTGGTATACCACAGTGGTGTTTGGGAATCTTAAGATTTAGTGTCAGTGTAAAGCTGATGTCCAGTGGTCCCTCAAGTCTGGTAATTTCCTCTTCTTCCATACACAAAAACCCAGGCAAATGTCTGCAAGCCTCTTTGGGGAAGGTACGAAGATCTGCACTATAAATTTTTTGACTATGTATCAAGATTCTTCTTCAAGATTACCTGGTCTCCCCTTTATTCAAGGGGTTCTGATACTATGAATTGGCTCAACTCTGGGAATTCATTGAGGCATTATGACTTTTTGTTGTGATGAAATCAAATTTTGGTTCACTTGAGCCAGTACATTTCAGTACAAAGGGGGGGTAAAAAAAAAAAAAAACAAAAAACTTAGGCTGCCCTGTTCATTTCCAGGGACACCATGATAAAGTAGCTGATGCCAAAGATCTATGCTGGCCCAATCATTCTGATTGCAGCCTCAGTTCTGTCCATTATGCTAATAACACCCAACTTCTCTCTGGATACTAAGTCCAGCACTTGACCCTGCCACACCAAGATCACTTCTTGGTGAATTCAGGGAACCTGGGGGGATGGCTGCTGTTCACACATTCATTTCCAGCCCACATCAGAGAGCTCTTCACATGTGTCAGTCACTCCTCCTGTGAATGTATTTCTCATGGCCTTGGTGAGGGAGTGTCCATAGAACACAGAAAGGGGATGGGTAAATGGGCCTTCCATAATCTGTCAACTCCAGCATTCCAAGACTTTGAATGTATAACAGGGAAGTTCTAGCATTTCAAACTTTATTTAGTATAGACCACTTTTGGGAACAGATTTCAGTCAACCTAGCACTAGCACATCACACCCAGAAGCTCTGCTTAGTGTACCCATGTAAAAAATTGCTTTACTTACTGATTTCCTTCCAAGTAGAATGTAAGGCCCTTGAGGACAGAAATTTAATCTTGTTCAATGCTCTAGGGTCTCTGGTGTCTAGAAGAGTGCCTGCTATAGCACATTGTCAGGATGGTCATTGCCTATTTATTAAATAATTGACTGATTTGTTCATTCCACAGATATTTGTTGAGTACCGTGCCCAAGAATAACAGCAAGTAATAGACCTTTGGGAGTGAAAGATATCCACATGGTCAAGAAAACAGAAAGATATCCACATGGCCAGGGTTGAGATAGTGAGAATAGAGGGAATTGGGTGCAAGAAATGAAATATTCAAGATGGATAGTAACCACATTTTGTAGAGTGTGGGAGGCCTTCATGTAAGGAGTTTGTCTATTATTCCAAGTGCAGTAGGAAGCCCCATGAGTATTTTAAGCCAGGGAGTGACAAAATATTATTTTATTTTTAAAGTTTACAGTGCCTGTTGTTTAGCAAGCTTGGTAGCAGGGAGATTAGTTAGAAGATTGTTTTTCATTACTTTAGAGAAGAGACAGTGTAGCTTGTACTAGGGCTGAGTGGGGTCAGGTAGCTTTCTGTCTACCTGCTGTTGGCACTGGTGTTGTGATGAAGCCTACTGCCGTGGACTTGTGGTGGGGGCTGCTGCAGCAGTGGCATTTCTGTGCAAGCCTGTCCTTCCTGTATGGTGGCAGGATTGAGAGCAGATTAGTTAACGTTCATTGCTAGGGAGCTTGTTTCACCCAGTGCAGTGCCCATGGTAGATTTTTCCAGCATCTTACAGTATTTCACTTGGCAAACTTTTGTACTGTTTTTGCTAATCAAGTTACCTGATATATTATACATAAAACTTCATAAAGTTATAATTTGTAACATTGTTATTTTAATATAAATATGCAGCATAGATGCAGTCAATGGATAATTCTCAAGAAGTCATAGCAATTTTAATTTTCAATCTATTTTATATAATTACAATATTTAAATCATGCTCTATAAAAGAATAATAAACAGCTAGTATATGAAGTCATATGTATTAATAGTATATTTTACAAACTAAGTAATTTTTATTTTATTTTATTTTACTATTCCCTTTATTTTTGTTATTTTCTATTCAAAGTACCAAGATACGAATATGCAGGGAGTTGTATATGAACTAAACAGCTATATAGAACAGCGGCTGGATACAGGAGGAGACAACCATCTACTCCTCTATGAATTGAGTAGCATCATTAAAATAGGTAAGAAACATTTTGTATTCCTCCTAGAAAACTTAAAAGATTATTTTATTCCATTGCAAAAAGTAACCTAACATGATTTGTTTACAAAGAGACAGATGAAAGTCATTTATTTACTTCTACTGCTAGACTAAGTCTGAAGTGAAAATATTTTATTATGAAACTAGCATCATTAAAATAGGTAAGAAACATTTTGTATTCCTCCTAGAAAACTTAAACAAAAGATTATTTTATTCCATTGCAAAAAGTAACCTAACATGATTTGTTTACAAAGAGACAGATGGAAGTCATTTATTTACTTCTACTGCTAGACTAAGTCTGAAGTGAAAATATTTTATTATGAAACTACCAGAATAAGTCAAACCTAAAAAGTCCTAAATTATCTAATCTCTATTAAGTGTCTGCCTGATGTATAAATGGAATATACTATGCCTTCTAGTTAATACCTAGTTTTCTTTGGAAAGTATATTTATACTGAATTAAAATCACATCTTTATAAAGGAAATCATTAATTTTTAAGGAGGAATAAGCATTTTAAATTTGTTTGGGTAAATGAAAAATTTTATACTATGTAAGAAATGGTTTATATTGTGAATAGAATGAGGAAAGTTACATCAGAAAGGTCATTTTTTAGAAGAATGCACCTTTTTTGGGATGTGAAATTTTTAGAAGGATGCACACTATGGCAAAGGTATCTCTTTTTATTTGAAAATAAAAATACACATGATGTAATGATAGTGATAACATTTTTATTATGTATTTTACTGTGTGCTAGGCACTTTTCCACACATATTACATGCATTAACTCATTTATTTTCCTTAAAACCTTATGAGGTGATTTCTGTTATTATCACCATTTTACTGATGGGGAGTCTGTGGAATAGAGAGGCTAAATATCTTACCCAAAGACACACAGGTAAAAAGGAGTTTAGCAGGGGTTTAAATTTAGGCAGTCCCTCTAACACTATGCCATTGATTGCTATGGTAATTGCCGTCATATGACCCTGAAGCAATTTTAGATAAGTTGAAAAATGTTCACTTCAGTAATGACATGTGAATGAATACATCATCCTTTTTGGTCAATGATCATTTTGGTTATTTGATGTCATGAATATTACTTTTGTTATTTCTTAATACTTTAAAAATTAAACAATTCTCAAATTTAAAAAATATTCTATAGTAATTCTGACTTCACTGCTATATGCATTTGAGGATGACTTAAATTTTATAGTCACTGAGAAAAATACATGAAAATATTTTAATTCGGTTGCTGAGTAAAGCCATAAATTATTTTGTTCTATTTACTGCATGACCATTGATTATTTTAACAAATCCATTCCGTAGACATATCTGAGTCTCACCATAGAGAATTTATGCATGTTATATTCTTCCATTGAGATTAGTTTTTTCATTTTTTTTTTTTCCTTTGGCAGCCACAAAAGCCGATGGATTTGCACTGTATTTTCTTGGAGAGACCATAGAGAATTTATGCATGTTATATTCTTCCATTGAGATTAGTTTTTGCATTTTTTTTTTTCCTTTGGCAGCCACAAAAGCCGATGGATTTGCACTGTATTTTCTTGGAGAGTGCAATAATGTAAGTATCTAAATTTAGATTTCAGTACTCTAGATAAGAAAGTATCATACGCTTGTTTCAAAAAACCACATGTTACAAACAGCTCAACATATATCACAACTAAGTACTTTAAACTCATTTTGTATTTTGTTTCTATATGTGGTTATTACCAATCAAGAATTTTACTAATGGCACCATTTAGGCATAAAAAGTATTTCACTGGCATTTGATTTTTGTTAGATATTAAATACATATATAATATATTTTGGCATGATCTGAGCCAGCAATACTTATCATAGCTTAAATGTATAAAATTCACTTATAAATTTATTTGGAAAAAAACTTTTGCTGTGTATTTCTTATGTGTTCAGTGTTTGAGATTTGGGATGTGTTTTTGTAATGTGATACCTATATTCTTGAGTAAAGAAAATATTACTGTCTACATTATATAAAATGTTAATGGAATTGAGACAAAAATGTTCCAAGACTTTTAATGCTACTCTTGAATTACAGTAATGCAAAGCATGAAATTAGTTGCATAAAAAATGTTTATTGGCTGATTTAACTAACTTATGACTGATCCTTTTCATTTCCACAGCCATTGTTTTTCCCTTGTATTATAGTAACTTACTTATGTTTATTACCTCACAAGATTAAAATCTCCTTAGGGCAAGGACTTTTCTGATTTATTTTTGTATCCTACTAGTACCTCTCCTCGTGCTTTTCAAATATGTCGTCAGACAAGAAAGTTCGTCAAGTTGCATTATTCAGATATTACTACCACTTCTAAATACTTTAAACTATATTTCAGACATTGATACTATTCTAAAATGGCTAAGCTACTAAAATGACAAATGGGTATTACTTTTTCCTATTCATTTAAAAAATTTATTTCTAATATTTGGGATTTTTATTGAAAATTAAGAATTCTTTTTAGAAAATTATTATACAGTCTGCCATTATTTTTATAATTGGCTGATATCTATGTGAGCTCAGTGTAATTATGGCAGTCCATGTCCCATTACGCCTCCTGGGATGGCCTCCAAACAACCAGCAAGGCTGGCCGTGGCGGCCCTGTTTGTTTCCCGGAACTCTCTCCTTTGGATCGTGGTTCTTCAGATCAGTGTGGACATGAGACTCAAACCGGGACCTGTCAGATTCTCTGCTAAACCTGGATCTTGGACTCAGCATTTCTAGATGTTCACCTGAACAAGAGTGAGGCGAGAGCTCCAGCTGAGGCTGCCGCTGCAGGATGGCCCTCTTTGGCTACATGCGAAAGAGAGTAGGCAGAGCTAGTGTGTGGAGATGCAGAGGCACAGGCGCCAGGACACCATGCAGCTGAAGCGTGTGTGAGCCCCCACATGCTGATTTCCCAGATACGTCTTTCATACACCAAAACCCATGTTCTTAATCATTTGGCTGGTTTTTTGTTTGTTTGTTTTGCTTTGCCGTTTTCAGACTTCTTTGTACATTGACCTCAGTGAAGTAGCTTCTTCATATATGATTTAGAAAAAGATTTTTTATCTAAAATATCTAAACTGTAATTCTGTGTATATCAGTTCTCAGTCTTTCACTTTTACTTATCTTTCACTTTTGCAACTTAATTAAGCAACGGCATCACATCCTCTCAGGCTTTATTCTGGCTGCTTATTCTAAACTCCTAAGGCCAATTAATTCTCTTTGGATGGTTCTCTCCAGGGACATCGATTCCTTGCTGCTTCTTTCTTTTCCACTTCTCAGGGATGAGTTTGTCTCATTCAACATGATATCCCTAGGAACAGCAGGCCATATGGAAAAATCATAACTTTCTCTGACCTTCCTAAGTCAAATCCCATTGTATTTTGCCTTCTTAATATCATATACTTCTCCTTCATGGAACTTAGCTGAGTGTATAATTGTTTGTTAATCTGTGAATTATGTGATTATTCATTTATCTGGCTTTCTCACTAGACTATAAATTTTATGAAGGCCCTTCATGGAACTTAGCTGAGTGTATAATTGTTTGTTAATATGTGAATTATGTGATTATTCATTTATCTGGCTTTCTCACTAGACTATAAATTTTATGAAGGCAGAGACCTTCTCCGCCTTGCAGGATAATTTTGGGGGATAATTACTGTATTTTGTTCACTGTATTTTTCCTTTTATGCATTCCGTGTTGGTAACTAAGCCCTTATTATTTCCTTAACCCAGGGATTTCTGTAAGTATGAAGAGGACTTTGTCCCAAGTCTTAAGTTCACTCAAGTGTTTCTTTGGATGTATCTACATAATTGCTACTTTCTTTGCTTTTCATTTTTTCTTGCATCTCGGGTCTTCCATTTGGGATAATTTTTCTTTTTCTTTTTTTTTTTTTTTTTTTTCCTTTTT